AAAAAAAAAAACGAGTCCAGCAGGAACAAGTTGAGAAAACATCGCGGACGTCTCGGATCTCACACACGGGATTTAAGTTGACTGATGATGGAAAAGATGATTAATCCTTAGTGCTCTCAAAATATACATAGCAATTTACATGTCCAACGTTAGCAAAATCCGGGCTTCTCAAACTGGGGTTCGCGAGCCATTCCTTGAGGCCCACAAAATTATTCGTCATATGTAAATATGGCCACTTGCCGGACAATAAAACAAACATACTAAATCACTTAACTCCTCCCTACCAAACTGTGAACCAATGAAAAGTTGGGAAAATATGACTACTTCCCCTCGTTCAATTTTGCCTTGAATATTTTAACCCTTTCACGCACCAATAATGATAACCTGCAACCTGATAACCTAATAAGCTGTCCACTGCAGCAACCGCTGTCGCTGAAAGGGTGAATGGTGAAGCCATGCTGAAAAAATATAACGTTCCTCTCCGCCGAACGTAGCCTCTTCATTGTTTTCGTGACATTACGATTTTTCTCGAAAACTTCAAATCCGCCGGCATGTACGGGGTATGCAGTGGTTCCGTTTAAACTGGTATTTGGATTGTTGATTCGGATTATTATTTGATCTCTTTTTTGGGTTTGGAACACCTATCCCAGTCACAACCCCCCCCCACCCCCGTGATACATAATACTTGTTTTGATTTTGAAATTACAAACACAGTCCGATACTCCGGTGGTCCCGGGGACATTTCGCGGCGCCGCTGACAGATTTACGAGCCAGATGATCGTAAAACGGCGCCGGAGGCGACATCAATCAGCAGGACGCCGTGAGAATCGATAGGCGATTGCCTGAATCGCACTCCTCGCCGCCTCCACCCCCCCCCACGCCCCCTTCGCACCTGAGCATCATCCTGCTTTCAATTTCCTGCCGCACTCGCTCCCCCCGCGGGTGAGAGGTTAACGCGGTAATAGGCGGCGGTGATTGGTGGAAGACGCTGGAGCGCATTAAGAAGCCGACGCTGCTTCTGTGGAGAGGCCCCCGCAAGCAGATGTGAGACTTCTGACAAAACATCTTGGAGATATTTGATTTGGACTCGGCCGCTCGGGATACGGGGCGGGCTTGAGAGACGCCAGCTCGTAAATGTTTGTTTAAAACTTGAGCGCTCATGTACTATTTATTTGCCTGATTGAGTCGGTCGTCCCGAGACAGCGGGCGCAATGCGAAGAGGCCAAAACAACAACAACAACAACAACAAACAACAAGAGAACTGAAAATTCTGAAGATACCGTTCAGATATCTTTCCAAATTCACTTTGAAATGAGAAGACGAGCCAACTATTTTCATAACAATGCTTTTGTACGCGATACACGACGCCGTTGAGTAGATCCCAACCTTGTAATCTTGTACCGGGAATTGAGGTGACTTTCCGTGCCGTCTACAACATCGTTGCTTTATGCAAGGCTTCTCTCACGTCGCCACCAAAGATGCAAAAAGGACATCATAGAAAAAAACAATTACATTAAATTAAGAATCCACCAATAAGTTACAGTGCACATAGGTCTGAAAATCATTCGGCTACTGTTTAAACTAAGCACGCCCTGATTCCTTCCAAATTGAAGTCTGGGACTTTCCATGAATTTCCACTACGTCGAAGTTTCACGTTGAGCTCGTCGTCACCACGCGGAAAGACCACAACAAAAAAAAAAAAAGGGAGCATGAATTACAGAGACGACCAAAAATCACGACGCTACTAACAGTGAAGAGCAGAGAGCAATCTTTCGAAATGAAGCTCGTCGTCTTCTGATGTATTTCCACAACATTTTTTTTAGTATATAACAAACCACCGCAATGCAAAAACACCGGCACAACAACAACAACAACAACAACAACAACATTAAGCATGCGAGCACTATTTCCTACACATATATAATTAGCACCTTTGGGTCTCTTATGTGCATCTACCTTGTACTTTATTTACAACATGAACTAACTTTTGTCTTTGTTTTTTGTTTTTAAATCATTCTATTTTTCACAGCAGTATTGCAGTTTCCTCGTCACAGTTTTAAGGTTTAGCATTGCATCTGCGAGAATTATCACAAAAAGTTCCATGTGTGTCAATTATTATTATTATTATTATTTTATTATTATTATTATTTTTAAACACATAGGTCCCCAGCTTTGTGTTAAATTAAAGATGCAGATGAGAGCAAAGTAAAGACGTTTAAATATGATGCTGGATAACGGACAAATAAAGTTTCCTTTGCAATGTATGTTGCCAAAATTTAATTCCCAAAACTCCAGATATGACTGGCAAAAAAAAGTTAAAAGAAAAAAAACGTAAAAAGTGAAATTCTTTCAAGGTAGAAACTTCTAACGCAGGTCAACCGTTCAAATCCGTCCACCTCAGATAACACAATCACTTTGTCCGCATTGGGTGTTGCATAATGTTGGAATCCGTTTTTTTTTTTTAATTTACTGCAGTCATTGCAGTTGCCACAATGAGGCATCTGAAATTTAAACTTTGCTGCCCCGAAATTCAAATCATCCTTAAAATTGAGAAGCTTTGCTTGGGGATTGCACAGGGATAAAAGCTCATGGTTGTCATTGGCCCATTTGCATATCTCACAGTGATTGTTTGGCAAAGTGTAAAAAAAAAAAAAATCCTTCTGCTGTGTTCAGTTTGATATGCAGGCTGAATACAGCAGGAAAAAAAAAGGCGTTACATTTTTTTTAATATTCTTTTTCTCGTGCCAAAATGCGGTTCCTGAAACTCCAGTTTTGTCACCGAAAAAGGATTCCTCCTCTGCGATGAAATGAAGACTCCCATTAGGAAGATCAAAAAGGCGGGCTGACCGCATTTAGAGCAAATTAAATGCAGCTCAATCAGAAGGTGGCAATTATTTTACGCTTTTGCGGTTACACGACGACAAGCGATAAACTCACTGCAGTCGTCACGGTGGCTCAAATTTGGTACCTGAAATTTAGCGCTTCCCCTCCACCGCACATTTGAAGCTTGAAATTTTTTTGGGATGTGTGCAAACGAAAGACGGGTTGAATGCGGTTGAACCAGGTTCCTGTCGATGATCACCCAGGATGCTTGACTCCCTCGCATCCACAACACCTGACCACCCGCCGCCCCACCCCCGGCCAAGCGCGTAAGGAATCAAAGCGCTACTCACCCCAGAAGAAGTTCTGCTGGCATGGTGCGACGGTGCTGAAGAGGCTGTTGGACGCCATGCCGGGACCGGCTCTCGCTCCTCGGCGGTTTCTGTGAACCTTGACACGTCCTAAACCGTGTCACCGGTGGGAGGGAGGAGGAGGACGTGGGTGAAAAAATAAATTTGGGAAGCCACGAGACATTGCGTTTACGTATCAACTATTCCAATGACCACAAGGATGCAGCCGGCGTTGGTTTTTTTATGGAGGAGGGAAATTAAAAAATATATATATATCAGATGGTGCGGCGTACTTACTCCTTTAGCGCCCGTCCTTGTGACTGGTGCTGCTGGCCCGCGACCATTAACCATTGACGTTCCGGCCACGCCAAGCCCCGAGCCGCGCGTCTGTGGTTCTGTGGTTGTTTTGGAGGAGCACCTCGCGCAAAAACCCCAAAACGGCACCAGCGGCTTTAAAAACTGCTTTTCCTGCCCTCCACACGCCGTCACTGGAGAGCCTCGCTCACGTGCCCCCGCGACGTCACCACGGCGGTGGGCCGGACCCTCATTGTGGTTTCCCTCTCTCCGCCCTTCACTCCTTGTTCCTCCTCCTCCTCCTCAGCTGCGCTTCCAGGCTCCGGTCTCCAAGCGCAAGCATCTCCCCCATGTGTCAGGAGGCTCCACTCCCGCTTTCTCCCCCTCCAAAGCTGCTCTCTGACATCCGAGGAGACTGCATACAGAAGCAGCGAGAGGTGGCGAAAAAGCTTGTTTCCAGAGGGGCGTGTCCATCCAAGGGGGTGAAGCCGCTCTGTTGCGTCGGTGACCGCAAGGGGTTCGGCGATCTCCGCCGGCCGCCGTGCGCCTTTTGAGCCGCCGCGTCAGGTGCGCGCAGAAGGCGCGGGAGGGAATGTGTGGAATGAAGATGAGAAAGTGGCTTCGTCACCAAGCAGAAGTAGCCAAAGGGGGGAGGGATTTAATCCCAGCGGCAATATAGAAATCTTAACGCAACACAATTCTCACTGAAATTATCTTCAGTTTTGAAACGATGTACAAAAAGTTCACGCACTAGAATGTTAGTTTGGGGCTGTGCGATATGCTCCCCTCACATCAATATCCATCCATCCACCCATTTTCCGAGCCGCTTTATCCTCACAAGGGTCGCGGGGGCGTGCTGGAGCCTATCCCGGCCGTCTACGGGCAGTCGGCAGGAGGGACACCCTGAACCGGTTGCCAGCCAATCGCAGGGCACACAAGAGACCAACAACCATCCGCGCTCACACTCACGCCGAGGGACAATTTTGTCAAAGAGACGCTCAAACAAGTATGCTTGGAACGACCGCTGGGGAAACTGCCTGTTGCTCCTTTTTTTTTTTTTTTTGCAAGAATACAAAATCATCTCAAAGTTCCTCCGGGGTCTGCAAGATATTACATAAGTCGTTTGAACTCAAACAGACGCCAATTCTCTTGTTCCACATGTAAAAACTCATCTGGCAGACATGATGCGATGGCAAACCCCAAATGATTTCGGCGAAAATGAATTCGCCTCGCTGCCCCGATACTTTTGGCGAGCGTATGGACACACTGATCCTATTTTACACCGATCCGCTACAGGTATCGGGTTTTATGATGAGGTTTGCTCCATTGTCAAGTATTTAAATCCCCTGCTTAAATCAATAAAGTCCGTATTTATGAGCTATGAAACCTTATATGGTTATTTGTATAATTGATGTCGGTGGGGCCCAATTAGTCATGATTAAACACATTTTAATAGCCTCCGTGTGTGTGTTTTAGGACAATAAAGAATAATGACGTTAAATCTGAGCCGCCCCGGCGGTTCCTCACGTCCTCGCCACTTACCGTTATTCTGCGCGGTGAAGAATTTACTTTGGCGCTGGGCGCTCGGTAAATATTTGCCGTCTAAAACAAGAACATGCCTCCCGGGTCACAGCGCCGGCTCGGGATTGGCCGTCGCCGTGCGGCTGTTGGCAGCAGGCAAACACGCCCCGGGCATCGGCGAGACGCGCGCCGGCTATTTCCACTCTGAGATTTAATGCGTGGTGTCAGCCGTGGCGTTTACCTTTCCCGCTAAAAATATCTCCGCTGTATTTTCTGGATATTTGGAAACGTTAGCCTTTCGAATAACAACTTTTAGCGCCGCGCGCCAACGGGATCGGATGCCCCGCTGTCAGAAGCGTTAAAGGCGCGAGACGGACGAGCGGCGGCATATTACCGGCAATCTGACGGCGGTGTAATTTGGACGTCACGACCCAGCCTAAAAGACTGAATGAAAAATAAATCAAAAAAGCCGACCGGTGTGGCAGGAAACATCCTGAGTGGCACACACAAAGCTGTTCGTACTGAGCTGGTTTCATTGGCGGTGCCTTGAGATAGAAGTTATAATTTGTTCCCTGACCCCGCTTGAAACTTCAATTGATGTAATGTACACAAGGCAAAATAGCACTCCATAATATTGAACTTTCGCAAAACATACACAAAAGACATACAATAAACACAAAAAATAAATCAACAAACAATCGCTCCTTCTGGTGTCCCCATCTTGGGCACCTGGGGGGCAAAATAAGTCAGACGAATATATCGTTCACCGAGTTGTCTCAACTCCTCTCAGCTCCTCAGTACGGCACTAATATTAAATGCTACGCTGAGGATGAAGAATATGAGTACTGTGATATTGTCTGTCTACACATGTTGCTGCACTTTGTGTGTTGCATCTGTTGCCACAAATAAAATCCTTCAACATAGATGCTATTTAGCGTTAGCGTTAAGCTAGCGTACCGAAGCTACGTGATTTTGTTTTAAAAGGTGGAATTTTCTTTGTATAGTTTCGTCTGACAGTAAACTTCAATAAACAGCTCGAAGCGAGCATGCTTGACGTCTTATTCGGAGAATCCCCATTTCTTAAAAGACGGAGAGTGAGAACAGGCACTCAGGAATTCTTTAAACAGATTATTTTCATATGTTTGTGCTTTAATAAGTTTGAATGTGTTTAAAACGTGTACCCAAACTATAAAGCACATGATAGGTTGATTCATCGACATATACCATACAGTATATTTGAAAAAATATATATATATATTTATATATTTTGCCACAGCCTTGTTTGGATTTGGGGCTCACTGACCTCCATTCTGCCAGATCTGATCCGAGGCGGGGTATGCATGCAAAAATCAGGCTTCTGCTTTTGTTTTTCAGGCTGCCGAGACAAAAAAAAAAAACACGAAGACGAACGTCCTTGATTGGAGGGGATTTGGAACAATTACTTCGTAAGAGGAGCCGAGCGAGTCACGCAAGAGCGCATTTGCGACGACGTCTGGAGTCCATGCGAGACCCGGTGTTTTCGCGGATTTAACGTCTCGAAAGCGCACTGTTGCTGGATGTAAACAGGGCATGCTATTGAAGGGGATGGGTG